TACTCGACAGCGCTCAAAACGGGTGATTCATTTTCAGCCACTGGGCAAAGACTAGCAGAGACTGATTTGACTTGTACCGCTGTAAGTGCAAAATCTTAACGCGTTGGTCGCCCTCTATTAGCATATAAGCTAAACTTTTTAAAATGGCAGCGGGTGTGCATATTACCTGCATGGGCATATTCACCGCACCTACCTTAGGTAACGGACTTCTTGACCTCCAGACAATTTTGCGTAAGAGTTAGTTATAGTTTCTCTCGAACCAAATCCGTTGTCAGTGGAGTGCCTCAAGGATCAGTCCTTGGTCCCTTACTATTATATACTGCTGATATTTCTGTGCACATAAAAAGCTGTTGCTCTTTCTACGCAGACGATAAAAAAAATTACGCTAATCCGATTGCGGACTATCAGTTTCTTCAATCTGATCTAAGTGCGGTATCAAAGTGGAGTTCAGACTCGTTATTACCGCTAAACGTTGATAAATGTGTTGTCCTTCATATCGGTAAAAATAATCCTAAATTGATGTATAATATTAATAATAAAGCCAGAATTGTCCCAAAATGATCTCGGTGTTATCATTACTAAAGACTTAACGTGGTCACAGCATATATTATCAGTAAACAAACAATTCTTATGAAAAGAGACTTTTGGCAATGTTTCTCCCTTAACATTTATAAAAATAAGCACAACATAATAATATGTTCGTTCTCGCCTGGAGTACTGTGGTCCTGTTTGGTGTCCCGTATTAATCTCGGATCAAAAGAGGTTGGAAAATGTGCAGCGACTTCCGTATGGTATAAGAAAATAGAATGATTGGTTTAAGTAAAAAATAAAACTACTATTTTAAAAATAACAAATTCGAATCCAACTGGAATCCTAATCAATGACAAACCAAAGAAAAAAAAATCATGTTCGTTTAACATTTACCAAAACTTTTAAAAACGTGTTCAATGTCTCCTGAATACAAATTTCTTTCACTTTTCCTCGAGCATCGTGTTGGTCCTTATAAATTTATTTTTTAAATCTCTGAAAGCAAGCAAACTACAAAGAATAAAAGTTTCAATCTTTTATCCGAGGTTTCATCTCGGTCATTCCTGCTTACGATGCGATATTACGAACGTAAGTTAATTAGGAAAAATTTTATTTTCGTTTATCTTACAAAAAAGTTAAGTAATTACTTTCTTAAATCATGTTTTTAAAAAGATTTTTCCGCTTTACTTTGATAAAAATAAAAATATTTTTATCTGGTAATCTTATAGGATGAATAAAAACCGTTATTCTCAATGCAAAACGGATTAATTCATTTTTAAGAAAATTTTTGGTAATATTTTATCTCTTATTATACAGAATATATACATAAAAAAATATTATTTTAGTTTAAGCTCTATTGTTCTTTAAAAACTTACTATTATTATTAAATATTTATGGTACATATTTGTAATTTAGTTTAGCGAATAAACATTAATTAATTAAATTTACAAATAACAACATAGTCGTTATCAGTAAGCAGTTTTTTCGTGGTGCCGGCCGCATGCCAGCCCTATCTACGGACTGCCAGGGGCGTATCCAATTCATTGGGTACCTTAAATCATTAAATTAATATGGAATCTAACAGTAATTCTCAAATATCTTCCCAAACTCAAAGTCAATCTAATGTTTCAAAAACTTGTTCTTTAGCTGTGTCTTAGACTCAATTCCTGTCCAAAGAACAAGCAATTGTTTTTAGTTCTCTGGACAATACTCGGCTGCAAGATTAACTAATTGCCCTTGGATCTCAAATCCAATCAAAGAATATCATATTCTCTTCGCTATTATCCAACAACCGAATTTGTATGTACCTGACAAACAAGCAGATTGTTGACGAATTCATGGATAATAGCGGTTATATTGAGATAAAAGGTGAAATATTAAGTGCCAGAAGACTTATAACACCAGCTATGAAACTCGTTCTGTCAAATGTTTGCCCCACTATACCGCACAACTTATTAATAGAAGAATTACAGAAAGGCGGTTTAAATCTAGTTTCACCTGTAACTTTTTTAAAAATTAGCTCTTCTCTACCTGAATATATTCACATACTGAGTTTTAGAAGACAAGTCTACGAGAGCCCACATAATTTTTCTCTACCTGATTCATTCACACTGGACTTTGATGACACCACATATCGAATATTTGTCTCAAAATAGTATGGTTTGCTACAACTGTAAAAAACCTGGAAATATCGTATCCCAGTGTCTCGAATCCACAAATGCATCGCCATCCACTCAAACACAATACCGCAAACTACTACTCCAACTGTACCGTCTGTATCCAGTATGCCGATTGTCTCGGCCAATATAAAGATACCTACTCACACTATAACACCCCAAACCAATATCCTACCCTTATTTATTCAATCAACGACCATTTCAGCGAATATACAGCAATCAGCAACCGCAGAAAACTCAATACAACAAGCCATCAGTGAAACCTTACCTATGGAGCAAAGTGACTCGGGTCACTCAAAGCGCAGCATCAACGAAATTCTTTCACCAGACACGGATGTAATTGTCAAGAAAAACAGCATCTTCACCCTTCCTGAGACAAAACTTAAATTTAAAAAAACGAAGTACAACTCCACTTCACTGAAGCCAGCCAAAGACTTTATCATTAACCACTCTCCTCCTTTTATACTTAATTATGACCAAGTTCAGTTACTTTTAACAAATGTAACTGGTTCTTCAGATTCTATCAACGTTGTCCAAGAATATACTTCAGATATGATAGCTGTGACACACATGTTATCAAAAATCTATCCCCATAAAAAAGATCCATCCCTGAAGAGAAAATTCACAACTTTGAGACGAAAAATGTTTGCCTATCTTGGCAATGACGTCTCGGAATCAGATAGTAACACATCACATCTAAGTCAGTAAAGATACTAACATCAAATTATTTAATAATTAACAGAATTCAAAACGTTACTTCAGCGGAATATCGATGGATTCTTTCATCGACTTGCAATGTTACAAATCCTTATAGGCGAACATTCCCCTGACATAATCTGCATCCAAGAAACCAATCTAAATCCACAGAAAAATTATAATTTAAAGCGCTATCATTGTTTTCGAAAAGACAGAACAACCAATACAAATTTCTCTTCTGAAGACGTAGCTACATTGATCAAAACTTCGCTTGAAGCAAAGGTATTTCCTGTTATCAGCAATCTTGAAGCCATTGTTGTCGAAATCTCTGCATCTACTCTATACAAAGACATTACAACTAAGAGACTAATGACCATTTGCACCGACGATGTAATCCAGGCTTAGTAGTTAAGTGTCGCTTAAAAAACGTAAGTTTATTTGCACCGTTATTAAACTACGTATTAAGCTCGCTTAATTTAAGCAGTCAGATTTGGAGGTTTAACAGACGAATACGGTGGATTAACGGGTTTATAACCTCAAACTTCTCAAATATTGAATTGAGGTGTCAACAGTATTAATCTGCAATCAGAGTCTGCAAATTTAAATTCGTTTTTCTTCCTATTTCAAGTATGGAAGATATATTTGACATTTATAATGACGATTTAGACATCTTGGAGATAATCGATTATGGATTTCCGAGAAGGATTAATAGAAGACCAAATTATATTGAGGAAATGGACAATATGACATTTTTCAAAAGATTTCGCCTTTTAAAACAGACAGTTTTGCAACTATTGCAGCAAATAGAGAATAATTTAGAATATCCTGACGACCGGTAAAGAATAAACGATACTATTTAATTATTATTAACATAATTTTGTTTACAGAAATAATAGTGTAAGTCCAATAAATCAGTTACTTTGTTGTTTACGATTTTACTCAAGTTCCGGGCATTTGAGTTCAGTAGCTGTTTTTATGAAAATAGATGTTGCAACAGCAAGTAGAATTGTGAGAAAGGTATCCAGAGAAATTGCGTCACTTTACCCCCAATACATTCGAATGCCAGAAGAAAGACATTTAATTACTGAACAGGCTAAATTTCATAACATGCACAGGTTTCCTATGATAATTGGTATAGTGGATGGTACACATATTAGAATTAATTCACCAGGTAATTATCTTGACATAAAAATATTTTGAGTTTTAAGTTCAATATGTTTTTTTGTTGTTTAACTGTTATACGTTTTCTTTATTTGCTTTGTTATTTTAGGTGGTTATGACGCTGAAGTATATTGAAATCGAAAGGGATATTTTTCTTTAAATGTACAAGTAATGGCTAATGCTGACTTAAACTTTATAGATGTGGTAGCTCGCTGGCCAGGATCAGCACATGATTCGACTGTCTTTGCTAACAGTCGTATTCGAGCTCGTTTTGAAAATAATGAGTTTGAAAATTCTCTGATACTCGGTAAGCATAAATTCTGGTAGCCTAAAATTTGTATTATTTTGTTTGCATTGCATAAATGAAAATAAACCATATCTACAATTTTAGGAGACAGTGGATACCCTTTAAAAAGTTATTTAATGACTCCAATAGATATACCCCATTATCGTGGAGAACAGCAATATAACGATGTCTTAACCAGAACAAGAAATCTTGTTGAGCGAACAATTGGAATCTGGAAAAGAAGATTTCCTGTAATTGCTTATGGGCTAAGAATAAAAATAGACACTGTAATGAGTATTATAGTTGCCACTGCAGTACTGCATAACTTGGCAAGAAACATGAATGAACCAGAACCACCTTTACCTGATGAAATTGTCGAACAAGAGTTGAATTATTTAATAGATGCAGGACATATTGAAGTGCCTTATCAACAAAATCCTCCTGTTGTACATGCTCAACTGGAAATTATTAATTATTTTGCTAACTTGTTGTAACTGATAATTTAATTAAAAAATACTTTTAACACAAAATATTTATTTTAATTTTGTATTCCACAAAATTAGAACAAATGAACAAACAATGTGAGCCACAGTTTTGGATAACAAACAATAAACAAAGACTTCCTATAACTACCAAAAATATGTTCACAAATGTTAATTTTCTTTATTACATTGCTTCCTTTTCAACAGTATATCTAATTTTAAAGCTTCCTTACGAAGCTCGTGCTCTTCTCTTTCAAATTCTATACTATTCTTTAATTTAGCTTTTTCATAATTGCTTATTTCTATACGATTTTCTAATAGAACAGAATATTTTTCTGCAACATCTGATGTTGTCAGTGCTTTCACATGTACAGCCGGACGTCTACGAGTTTTACTAATTTCTTTTTTGCGACTAGACACACACTCAATTTCTGTTGGTTTACTTGGACCAGCAGAATCATGGAGCTTCATGCTACAGGTGGTGTTGGTAGTACATACATCACTTTGCTGGTTCTTATTTGTCTGTATTTTTATAAACTGACTGTCACTTTCTGTATGTTTACCTGGACCAGCAGAATTATGGGGCTCCATGCTACAGGTAGTGTTGATAGTATACAAATCACTGTGCTGATTCTTACTTGTCTGTATTTTTCTTACCTCTAATTCTTTATCTTCATTTATATTTTTTCCATCCACTTCATAGATGTATTCATTGTCGGCGTTGTTAGTTAGGACCTAAAATAGAAACAGTTTATATTTTTATGAGAAAACAAAACTCCTCAAATAACTCACCTCTGTGGCATCCCCATCAAACGGGTTTTTTAATCCATGAACTGTTTTTTCATTAATTATAGATAATATTAGTTCATCAGAGGGATCAATGTACTGCTTTGGAGGAGGGCCTCCTCCGGTGCGATAAACCTCCATCCTTTCATCCGCCTTTTGTTTTCTTATAATCTTCTTTTGGTTCTCATAATACTTTTTTAGAGATTCTATAGATCTCTCCACTAAACCTGGGCATTGGGCATTAAACTCTATCGCAATTTTCGCCCAAGTCACCTCTTTCTCTTTTTGGGACACTCCGTCGGTTTGCTTATTTTCAACGACATTTTTGTACTTGTAGATAATATTTAATAAATATTGTTTTTCCCTACTAGTATAGTTTGCAGCTCTTTGTCTTTTTTTATCCATTTTATTACAAAAAATGGCAAGAAGTAACAAATTAACAAATAACTAATTTGAAAATATTCGTGACAATGACAAACCAATTCAAAGGATGATAAGTGACAAGTAGAAAATTATTAAAATTCCTTATATAATTCCATTGATGCCAAACTGCATTTTCGCCTAACTAAACCAAGTCATACACGAAACGGTGCAAAACAATTTTTTTAAGCGTGCTTAAAAGTTAAACCATACTTAGGTAAGCGCGCTTAATCTATAAGTCGGTGCAAATAGCCATAAGTCACACAGAAACTGTCAGATACTGTCAGAAATAGAAAATTGCTGTTAGACCTGATTGGCAACGTTGCGGCTGGTTACGGTACTACATTTCATTCATTAAAATTGTAAATTCGTAAAATAAGCTATTTTGCGTTGCCGTATTTACGGAGTCCTTCGAAACCCTAATATTTTGTTTATATTAATATTGATTTTTTAATAAAAAATTTAGCTTATATTAAAACTTCAAAGAATAATTTGATTAAAAACATATTTTTATTTATATAATATAAAATTATAGTTACAGGACACATCAAATTTTATTTTTCGAAAGTAATTTCTCCAAATAATTTTGACAGACTGATAAAATCGGCAAAGACGCAATAAACGAGAATCTGGTGGGAATAATGATTTGCCACATAAAAATGTAAACAATTTAATTGATTTATTCATTTATAAAATACTATTTTTGTGAACTTTTGTGAGAAATATAAAGAATTATGGTACATGCATGTGTAGTGTTCAAAAAGGTAGATCATTTAAGTCGAAATGTATGGTTTCATCGGTAAGTATTTTTAGGTTAAGATATGTTGTTTTTATTTGAACCAGTGGAGTAGGGCTTGTACAAGATTTGATACAATTTCTTATAGAATTTAAATTATATAGGATCACATAGTAAATTGTTTGAAAAATGATTATCCAATCTAATTTTTCAGACAATTTACTGCAGGTTTGATAATATACAATTTAAATTGTACAAGAAATTGTATCAAAAACTTGTGTAGTCTAAAACAGTCTTAAAACTGGTTTTAAAGTGATATTCCTTTTATAAATTAGTAAATTTTTCTTATACCAATAAATAATTATTGAATAGTGGCAAAGAAAATTTAACGTAAAATGTAGAATACCTTAAAAATGATTTACCTATTGAGCACCTATACATATTTTTTATTACTTTATTTAGGTTCCCGCAAGATCATGAGAAAAGAAAACTTTGGTTTTCTCTAATAGGAATCCTTGAAAATCAGCCCCTTCGTTATGATTATATATTTTTAGGACAGTGTTTTATTTAGATACCCCTACCTACTTAATGTAAATTTAAAATTTTAAATAATTTTGGTTAACATCATACCAGGCAAATATATAGTAAATGCCAATAAACTATAAACCAATAAATATTAAAAATCGAAAAGTAACTTTAATTCGCTTGTATTTGAATTTACTTGTACTTGAATTTATCTACATGAAAAATCAGCAAGTATCGTGCAAAACTATTGTCATATACTCTAAAGGCAATTCTCTCACCAGAAATCAAATCACGACTGGTGAAAGACTGTCTAGAAGACCTGACAGAGCTAAGTAGTCTCAGGAATGGTGGAACAACTATCCAAGACTGAGACAGGCCAAACAGTTCATCAAGGAACCATCGGCCAAGTTCACAAAAGACCTACTGGATCAAAAGCGTCAAATCGTTAGAATAACAGTAGGCCTTATTACTGGACACTGTCGCCTCAAAAGGCACATGAGTGTCATAAATCCAGCAGAAGAAGCAACTTTGTGCAGGTTCTGTGAAGAAGAAGAGGAAACAATATTCCACGTCCTGTGCCAATATGAATGCCTGGCTGGAACGAGGTTTCTAACATTGTGCGAAGAAAAGCCAATTGCATGCAACTACATGCGGGAGCCACTGTCAAAGCTACTAAGACTAATAAAAAAGACCAGGCTAGACGACATACTCTAAAACAAACAGGAGTCCCACAATAGATCTGAAAAGGTCGCGGTGGACAAGGACAAATAACGTCCAACTCATAATCTAATCTACCTACATGAAAAAATCATCATAATTCTATTATTAAAAAAATATACCTACATATTTACGTATTTTTTTAACATACTACTCTGACAATACTGGTAAGTTTAAAACTCTACGCCACTGGCGAGCATATTATGGACACTGTTTACAACGTTGCCAGCCGGTCATAAGAGATCTGTCTTTCTCTCTTCCACTCACTAACAATTTTTGAATGAAACATTTTGTCTATATGTTGTAATGTCTTTGACTCTATACTATATCTGTAATATTTACCTTTCCTCAAGTTCTTCAGCAATGTTTAATGACTTGAAAGGCCTTATGGATACGTAATTATAGGACAATATAGTCTGGGGCTCCTCGTCTACTGATGTCAGAGGCAAAACAATAGAAAAACTCATCTCACATTGCAAATTGAATTTTCTTAATTATGCATCACCAACTAGATTTAACATAAACACTGGAGAATCATCAGCAATTGATCTAAGTTTTTGTGATCCTGCCTTAACACCACGGTTGTCCTGGGAAGTTCTCCAATATACTTATGGTAGCGACCATCACCCTATTTTAATTAAAAATAATTATAGCCACCCGGTCGATACGTTCTTGCCAAAATGGAAACTTATTTCGGCGAATTGGTCTAGCTTTGAAAGTTACATGGATAATAAAATACAAAACTGCATAATAAGCAACAATATCGACGAATCTTTGTCGAACTTCAACAAAATTATTTTGGAAGCAGCTGATTTATTTATTGGAAAAACTAAAATTGTGAAAAACCATGTTCCTGTACCTTGGTGAAATACAAACTGCGAGAAAGTAATCCGAGAAAGTAAAACCGCCGGCGCGCGCCTTAAATAAGTATAAAAGACATAAATCACTGGAAAATAAGACAGAGTTCAAAAGACTTAAATCAACAGCATACGTTACGATCAACACTACATAAAAAATCGAAAAAACAACCCACACAGCAACCCGAAGAAGATAAACCAGAAAACAACCCCAAATCCGTGTTGTTTTCTCTTAAGAAGAAGTTATATAAAGACATTTTGCCATATCATAAATAATATTGACGTTGTACAGATATCATATTTGATTATAGATAATAATTCTTGTTAACATTTAATGGGCCCGTTCACTTTCATTTTTGAATGTGAATTAATTATATATTTATAAAGATATTAAACTCTTTTGTCTGGTGGTACTTTTCCCGTTAAGATATTTTTGCTAGAAGTAAGGGAATTCCCATAAAATTCTTTCAGTGACTCATTGCGTCAGAAAATCCCTAATTCCGTTCACGTCTCGTATCGGTTATGCTTAAAGACGGCGGGGTTGTCGGAAGTATCCCTAATATAGCATTTCTGCATTTATATATGTAATTTAAATAGTAAAATTCCATTAACTTTCTAAAAATCATGAACTTATATTTTCAGATTTAAAGCTGGGAGCTTATTTTTTACTTTTTAATTAAAACAATTATTATTACTCAGGCTGAAAATTAACCAGACCATAATCAAAAAGTAGAAATTTGATTTGCAATATTTATCTGGTAAACGTGGCAACGTTGCATTTATTTCTAGAAGTGTGTGTAGACAACACTATTTAGAAGTACTTACAACGTTGTCACGTTTACCAGATACATTTTCTCAAATAAAATTTCGATCTGGTAATATTCAGCTTGAGTAATACTAATTTATTGTTTTTATTAAAATTTAAAAAAGGTAAGGTTTCCAGCTTTATCTGAAAATATAAACACATTATTTTAAAAAAATAATATATTTTTATCATGTAAATTTCTTTAATAAATGCAGAAGAGGAATGGTGGTGCAATGATACATCCGACAACCGCGCCCTTTTAACTATTAACCGATACGAGACCTGAAGGGAATTAGGGGTTTTCTGACGCAATGAGTCACTGAAAGAATTTTATGGGAATTCCCTTACTTCTAGCAAATATATCTTAACGGGAAAAGTACCACCAGACAAAAGAGTTTAATATCTTTATAAATATATAATTAATTCACATTCAAAAATGAAAGTGAACGGGCCCATTCATTCTTGTTTCAATCTCAGTCGAGTAAACCAGTGTTTTTGTAATTTAAAAATAAAGTTTTCTTTTTAAAAATAATTTTTGATTCTAAAATAACTTAACTCACCCTTAATCTCAAAAACCAATGAAAGATGATGTTTTTGGTTAGAAGTTATAGTAGTACTGCACAAAAAATTATAATTTCTAATAAAAACCCGCGATGAAATTTTTTTTAGAACATTTTAAAATGGTAGAATTGCTGCTGAATACAGCACTGCATATCATTTTTTTAAAGAAAAGCGAAAATTTATGTATGGGCATTCATTGTTAACAGAAACACTGGAAAGTGTGTAATTCCTGAGCATCATCCCCCTTTTCAGAACTTTTGTTAGAAAACTACACACTTCTCTTCCGTTTGTCTGATCACGCAATTTATTGTGTTTTGTCAGTTTCCCCTCCGGGTTTTTTGCTACGTCACTGTTTGGCTATATGCCAAGTTGGTTTGTTTAGTGTGAAGTATCATTTTGCTTCTTTCGAGCTATTCACTCCCAAACAAGTTTTCTATATTTTTTGATTTGTTGACCAACATATAAACGACAATTGAAAGCCCCCTAGATTTTCGCGGTCGTTAAAGTAATTTATAGATTTTCCTCTATTGACCACAAAAATACGCCAGTCAACAAAACAGATGGGGTATCGTGGCCAGCAGAGACCGAATAAAATAAAAGAGGCGATAGGAATATTTCTCAAAAGATTTTTCTCAATTTATATAGGGTAAAATATATAATACTTTCAATTTGAAAGAAAGAAAATTATAGGTATATCACATTTCCTAAAATCTATAATTCATTTCCATTTTTATCTACATGGCCAAATTATAGCATACAGGGTCAACGTCCGTCGTAGTCAAAT